CTTTTAATTTCGTATGAATGTTGTTTATTACGTCTTGTGCATAGCTTTGCTGAATTTTTTGATAACTAAAAATTATTTTATTTTAAAAGTAATGATATTACAACATAACACAAAATATGCATAAATGGGTATATATATTCCAACAAAGCCACTAATAGCCTAAGAATAGCTTGACACACTCTTCCCTTGACTATTAAAAGTTTTATAAATTCTCACAAAACTCGAAGGAGATGGAGTGTTTATAACTACACGATATTTATAGGACTATTGAAGATTTTATATGTGACCCTTTTGTTGTTGGTTTTTTTTTTTTTTTACATCGTGAGTATCTGAATTGCACTTCCAATTATCCTTTTTTTTTTTTTAATGAAACCATATTTAAAAAGTACCAAGATATAGTATTTTGTGAAAAAATAGTTGCATTATTATTTTAATGTAGTAGTGAGTTTTCAGATGTCGTCACTGTGAAAAACTTCTGGCTTGGCCCAAGTCATACTCAAACCCAGTATTTTTTAGGTGTAAGCAACCGTATTAATTACCATAATTTAATTTTCTTTTATCTTTTTGTACTCTCTGCCCAATCTTCATAGTTGTTACATTTCTAGAACAAACAGTCCTATATTTCTTGTAACAATTGAATTCTATGGAGTGTGATATGACAATTAACTTGAATTTGTCATACCAATTAACTAGAAAGAGTGTAAAATTTGAATATTTATGTAGAGCATTTTCCATATATTTCGTCTTCCAGTTTGGCAGATAGACATCCCTTTCTGAAAGTGCAGCAAGTGCAGAAACCTTTAAAGGAAAAGAGAGTGTTGGTTAGCAATCACTGTCTGTTACTATGCTCTGGCAATGTAATTAGTTGCCACTCCTCCTAGTCGAAGTTGTAAAAAATAAATGAAGGCGTCGTAACCGGGTTGGATATTCCAATGTTATTAATACTTAATTTGTTGATTTATTTTTTTTATTTGTATTATTATTAATATCAATTAACAAAATAACAATTGGTCATAATATGGAATGAGATTATTGTCAATTTGATAATAACAATGGATTAAGTCTATGGTTAGCAATCTAAGTTGTGTTACATTCCAACATGTTATTTGGAGTTTGTATTGAGTATCAATTACCCTTTAAATGACTAGTTCAATTAATCTTATTAGATGATCTGACTGCCACTTGACATGTTTATTAATCATGTTGGATTCGGTTGATATATATAACTTGTGAACTAAATATATAACATTATGACCCCTTGCTCTCTAAACTAAGCCCACCATCTAAAATCCTCGTATAACTTAATACCTGGTCACGAAGTAGAAAAAATGAAAAAGAAAGCAATTTTTCATAGGAGGAGAGCTCAAGGCAATTTGAGGCTTAAAACGACAATACTAAATGATGTTTTTTTTTTAAATAATTTATTATGTAAGAGAGAGATAGGAAAATACGTGTTAATGTTGTCGAGAAAAATGTTTTAACTTTTATTTTTATTTTTTATTGGAGAGAGTTTAATTTTAATTTTTTTTATATACTTTTTACTTATTTTTACACAGAGAGAGAGTGTCTAGGGGTAAATATGAGTTGACTTTTGAATATTTTTAATTTTTTCAACTTATGATTTTTAAGTTTATGATGTTATAGATTGAATTGTGGACCCAAATTATTACAATAAATATTTTGATTGTATTTAAATTTTTGGGGCCTTTTTTTTTAAGGTTTAAAATTTAATGGATTTAAATTTTTTCTAGTTAGTAATATACTTAAAATTATGGGACTTTCTAAAATTTTAGGGTCTAAAGCCTACGCTTTTTTATAATAATGTCGAGCTGCCCCTATTTTTCATAAAATACAATTCAATGGGATTGTCTCATCAAATTCGAGTTTATATGTGGTCGAAAAGAACATAATTGACATAGTAATATGTGGACAATTTTCTTTCAAGTTTTCCACTGTCTAAATGAAAAATCTTCTATTTGATGTTAAATTAATATAATCTTTACTTTTATAATTCCAACAACCGATCGGTTTTTTTTTTATCAAACTTAGAAATTCTTGGCAAAAGGAAAAAAAATGTAGATTAGAAATATGCAATTTTTTGAATGTAGACAAAAGTTGATATCAATTGGTTGAAATACTTGCTAATTTTCTTCAAACATTTGAAAGGAAAAACTGACCTAATCCTTCAGATAAAAGTTGCCGTCTTCCATATGTCTCCAACAAATTACGAACTAAACCATCAACTCAAGCCAAACCTGCCCACTTTGAGTAGGTTTGACTTACTACTGTGACAATAACGCCAGGAGCCACTTCCAACACTTCCATAGCTTGCACGGCTCCACAACCGCAGTCTGCCAAATGATACACAATAATAGTAACAATGGCATATTCTGAGTTTGAATTTCATACATGCTGAATTTATCGAATGTACGTAATTTGCGTGAAATTAAGTGAATACAAAATTGACGTTGAATCTAAACAAACAATGATATACAAATATGTTAACCGAAACCGCCCCAACTCAGCAGCACATGGAAGATATTGGTTGAATAGCATCAACAGAAGGTATATAGAGATTAGTTGAGTTCTTTCTTTTCAGGTTAGGGATTCTTAGCCAAACCCATGCATTTTTGGACGGACTTGGTAATTCCATGCGCTTCTATATTCGTCTTTCGAAAGTTGATTTTTTTGAAGGAGACAAAAAAAAAAAACAAGATTTTGAAATGTAATTTTAACTGCATAAACCATTATTTTTTTTAGTAGAGTCGTTTTCTAAAATCACATTTGTTTTAAATCCATACACTTTTAGGTTAATTTTGCAAATCCATACATTAATTTTCTAAATCCGTGCTTCAAAAATACAATTTATTTAAAAGATCATATAATTTTGAAACATGACTAGAACCAGATAGCTCACGTTTTTAGTAGTCTTGTTTAAAGTTAGGTTTGAAGCAAAACTTTTTTGTCTTGAATTTTGAATATGTATTTCAAAAAATAATTTTACTAAAAAAGTTGATCTTGAAACAAGATTTTAACTAGATGTAACATTTTTCTTTAGTAAAATCGTGTTTCAAAATCAGGTTTTCTATTAAAATCTTGATTTTGATACTTGATTTTTCAGAAGTATATATTCCTCCGGAAACAACATGAAAAATCAATCCTTGCAACAACAAGAATTAACCTTTGATATTTTAGTTGAGAGTTTTAATGATTGCCAACTCGCAACTTCCACAATTGATTGATGAATAATAAGGAATTTCTAAAAACACAATTAAATAATTTATACCTTGGAATGTGCCTACCCTCTAGATAGCTGACATGGAAGTGCAAAGTCTACCCAAAACTCACCAATCCGCTTGCATTCTAACCTTCATTGAATCAATCCACACTTAATCCACGAAGAAGTGTCAATTAAGTTGTCATATGGTGTTTAGGTCACAAAATTTCAGATTTATAGCAATTGGGTTGGGTGGGGTGGGGGAAGAAGCAGAAGGGAGAAGAGACAAAGTGATGAAGATGGAACTTAAAATTACTTGCAGACGAGTGTGAACCTTTACCATTAAATTACTTTCTCATTAGCTCAAATATTAATCAATTCTAACCAAATTTATTTTAATTAATATAACATGACCTAAATCGACTTCTTCAATAATCGGGTGATGCTTGGATCCACGTGCATAATCCATAAGTCAGAAAACCTATAATAAGATTATCATTTTTAGGTTTTGATGGTATCACAAAAAATCTAAAGATGAGCTTGGTAATCCAAGTCATGCTATCCAGTTCGAGAGCTCAACTCATTAATATTATTCGTAGATCTCGATTTTAAACCTCAACTCCCCATTTCAATATCTTGAAGAAGTTTGTGCAAATGACAGCTAGATCTCATCAAGTCTTTCTTTTTTTTCTTGGCGTCAATCACCCAACAGACGCAAATCTCATTGCACAATGAGAGACAACCGTTACAAAGGAAGGGCGAGGATCTCGCCCCAAATCAAGACAAGCCCAAGAATAAGTGTAAATAGGAGGTATGGCCCTCAAGAGTGGGGGAGTCATTGTAGACTTACAAAATATTATCTGTAAATCACACACAGTTATTAATAAATTCAAGAGTAAGAGACTCCCTTAAAAGTAGATTAGTCGAGTTCTTGAGCTAATAAACCATTATAAACACTGTATGTAATTATTTATTAATATCAAAGACCCTATTCTTTAGAGCCTTGGAACTCAGAGTGAATTGTTTACTGCACTTCATATTCATACCTTTGTTCAATCGCATTAATAACATCATTAGGTTCATTTGGAAGATTAATCAATTTTAATCCAATAAGTAATTTGGTAATCTATGGGCGTTGAATTTTTATGAATTTTTTTTTTAAATTTTTTTTTTTTTTGGGAGAGGTAGGGGAAGAGAGAGTTAAACCCTTGATCTCAAGAAGGCGTAGCGTTGCCAGAATAGAATCAAATCCAAGAGCAACAGACAATCAAATATGGATCAATCCTAGTGTATTCGAACTGCACACCTGTTTGGTCTGCCTAACCACTATTATAGATTCGATTAATAGCAAATGCCTAATTAATTATTTTAGCCTCCTTTTGGTACTGCAGAATTCAAATAAAAAAAAAAAAATACTTTTTTGAAATAATAATAAATTTGTATGTTATTTACTTATTCTAAATTTGTTATAAGTGAAAACTGTATATTGGATACAACATTTTCTGGTCAATTCAAATTAATACTTTCATCGATCACTCACTTAAAATGTATTCTTCAATATGAAAACTCAATTACTTTACTAAAAGTATTGTTAAATTGATTGAAAAATGAGACCAAATAGTAGTAATGTTTATATAGTAGTATTTTTTGTCTCAATTTTATCTATTAAAAAAATTTTGCTCTCTAAAACAACGTTGAATCCAATTTTTAATCTTTTTTTTTTGTTTGTTTGATCCAAACATTTCTTCTTTTCTTCCAACTCAGGCGTTCATCCCCAACACAATAGGCTGTGTTGCATTTAAAGACCCACAAGCCACTTCACAAGCAATTGTCAGATACAACATACTCCCCATTAGAAAACCACTCAAACCTGTTTGACTCCCCCTCCAATTTATGGCTTCCTAGTTCCACAGAGAGACAGGGAGAGAGACTATATACTTGTTTCTGTTCTGTCTGTTCTCGGTTCAGTTCCGTTTCTTGTATTTTTCCTTTAGTCCTCTGCGCAAGACACAGCTCAGCTGAATACTTTTTATTACAAGCAAAATGAGATATATTCGAACAGGCAGTTTGAAAAGACTCTTCTCAATCAGACGCCGAAGTTTCGATGAAGAAGTTCCAAAACACTGTGACTGTACCGAAGATTATAACAATGAAACCTTGAAGATTGTCTCATCAACAGAGCCTTCTCACAGACCCACTTGGAAATGCTTCTCCTATCCAGAAATCTTTGATGCCACCAATGGCTTTAGCTCAGGTCCACTCTCATTTCCCAGAAAATACTTAAACTTTATTGGCCTTCTTACTAAAGTTTGGTGTTAACATCCTTGTTTTCTCTGATGGGTAAAGGTAAAACAGATTTTTTAGGCTTTTTTGATCATGTTTTGGTTTAAAACCCGTATTTTCTTTCTTGGAAATGCTTCTCCTATACAGAAATCTTTGATGCCACCTATGGTTTTGGCTCAGGTTCAGTTTCATTTCCCACAAAATATTGAACTTTCTTGGCCTTTTGCACTGAAGTTTTGTGTTAGCATCCTTGTTTTTTCTTACATGGGTAAAAAACAAAACTGATTTTTAGGCTTTTTAAAAAAAAAAATTTGGGTTAAAACCAGGACTTTCTTTCATTGGGCGATTTTGGTGAAAGAATATTTGAATTTGGTGATTTTTCTTTGTGTTGTTGACTGCAGATTGTGTGTTTTTTTTCCTGGGTATCAGATAATTTGGTTGGAAAAGGAGGGTATGCTGAGGTTTACAGAGGGATACTAGAAGATGGTCAGGCAATTGCTGTTAAAAGGTTAACAGAAGCATCCACTGATGAGAGGAAAGAAAAGGAGTTCTTGACAGAGATTGGGACAATTGGTCATGTCTGCCATCCAAATGTGACATCACTGCTAGGTTGCTGTATTGACAATGGGCTCTATCTCATTTTCCAGTTCTCCTTCAGAGGCTCTGTTGTTTCTCTGCTCCATGGTATGTAAAAACAGAATTTGAAAACAAGTATTATACTTTGGTTGTTCTTGATGGCGAGACTTATTACAATGGTGAGGATGCAAGGTGAGTATGCTCTAGCGAAAAGAGTCTCTCCACATGTTGGGTTAGGTTGCATATACGCGACCCTCCCCAAAGCCCACAGTGGTGGGAGCCTCCTACACTAGGCTCCCTTCTATACTTTTGTCATTCCTCTCGTGCCAACTTAAAGTTACACCATTAATGGTTTTCTGGGTTATGAACCTCTATGGTCATACATTTGCTTTTGTTTGTGTAGATGAGAATTTACCGGTAATGGATTGGAAAACAAGGCACAAGATTGCCATTGGAACAGCAAGAGGCCTCCGTTACCTGCACAAAGGTTGTCCTAGAAGGATAATTCATAGGGACATCAAGGCTTCAAACATTCTGTTGACTGCAGATTTTGAACCTCAGGTACTATTTTGATCCACTTGATTGCAGAGAAAAGGCAGGGAAGATAACTGAACTAGGAATTATATGATAGCCGGTGCACTGGATTTATTAAAAGGAATTCTAAGTAATCATTTTTTTTTTTCATATGATTTCTTGGTAATCACATTCGTCTGAGTCACAGTTTATTTAAAAGTAACTTTGGTGTATTGAATATTTACAGTGTTCTTTGATGTTATAGATATCTGATTTTGGGCTAGCTAAGTGGCTTCCGTCACAATGGACTCATCATTCAATCATTCCGATTGAAGGCACATTTGGGTATATGACTCTTCACTTTATTCAATCCTAAGTAATGAATTCTCTTAATAGGGAATATGATTGAAATGGAGCTGTTACATAATCTTAGGCACTTAGCACCCGAGTACTTCATGCACGGGGTCGTGGATGAGAAGACAGATGTGTTTGCTTTTGGAGTCTTTCTATTGGAGATCATCTCAGGCAAGAAACCGGTTGATGGGTCTCATCAAAGCTTACATAGCTGGGTAATGACAGGCCTTTACAGATTTTTTTTACTAAGCCATTGCCTTCTTATTTGAGGAATTAGGCTTCTAGTGACGGCATTTACAACTGGTTTAGATTGAGTTTGTACATTTTGTGGTTACTAATTATGTATTTAACAGGCCAAACCTATACTGAACGAAGGGGAGGTTGAAAAGCTGGTAGATTCAAGGCTTGGAGGGGCCTATAATGTCGCACAGCTTGATAGACTTGCCTTTTCCGCATCTCTCTGCATTCGATCTTCATCCACATGGCGGCCTTCCATGAGTGAGGTAGCTAATTCCCCTGCTCCACCCATTTAGTTCCTTAATTCCTTGTTAAGCCTATGGAGTAGTGTTCATGGTATGAAACCATTGTTCCTTTTTGATATTGTCAAAGAAAATGGTATCCTAGCAATAAAACATGCCCCCGGGGGCTTACTGAGTTAAGTTTTGAAAAAGCGCACTCCTATACCAAAAAATTCATGAGCCCATCGTCTACATTTCTGTATGTTTGTGAAATAATCCTGGTTCTATTGACCGACATATTAGACTTTTTAAGGGATACAGTTTTTTCTCAAATAAATATGATCCATTATGTTACGCCATGTTTATTAGGAAATTCACCTAAACACCCCTAACTTTTGTCACCTGCTTAAGTTTCCTGATAAGGGCCACAATATCATATGCTTTTGCTATGTTCTGGATTCCAATACAATTCTCTGTGCAAAACTTTGTGCATGAATATAGTAAAGCCTTATAGTTGACATGCTGAATGCCTATAAGACTCTCTTAATAAGATATGTTTTGGGTTGAAAACTTGTACGATCTTTAAAATGTAATACTCTGGTGTCATTTGTCATCTTCTAAGTGTGTGTTGGGTTGCCTATAATCACCAGTCAGGTTCCTAAAACACGGATTTGGTTTTTCTTGGTATTGGTGGGGTTGAAGTTGGGGTTTTCTCTCACGCAATTTCGATTAGTCAGCCGATGTTCTATTCTACCTAACCTAAATCTTTATGCTAAAGAAGACAAAGTACAATGTAGCCCTTCCATGTGATACTATAAGACCACCTCATAATCACCAAAAATGAATAATCAAAACAACAGTGAAAGTGGGTCCTTTATAAAGTTCTTATTCTGTTAATACGTATTCTTTAGAGATTATCTCAAATCAAAAGTGGGGTTTTATCTGTTTTTTGTTTTTGTTCATATGATAAGAGAATTATGTATTTGTCTGATTTAGCTGCCTGGCATGTAAATGAACATCTTTTTGAGCTGGAACTAAGTTATAATACCATGATCCCCCTTTAATGCTTTTTTTTACACATTTATCTTTTTGTTTTTATGCGAAACATAATTAAATGTAGATAATCGGGGCACAGATACATTATTTTATGGACTGATAACAAGATTACTTCAAAGACGACGACGCAATGTCTCGTGTTTAGGCCTCATTTCTCTAATTGTTTTAAATTATGTGGTGAGGTGACCCAACGATATGCCATATTTCATGAAATAATTAGAAATTTGAAAGACATCAAAGCTTTCAGCTGTCATCTAATTTATTGGCTTGCAAGGAAAAATGAATAACTCCTTAAGTTGGATAGGGTAGTACATCTATAAATGAGCTGTTTGTAGTTTAGCTCCTTCCTCTTTTATATTATGAGAGAGACACTTTTGTTTCTTTTGAGGGAAATTCACCTTCATTCTCTTTCTAAATTGCGTGTTTTTATCATCTTTCTTTGGCATACGTGTTGTCTTCCGTGTCAATTTGGAGAAGATATATGAATTTTACAGTTAACAAAGCATCAGTGGAATGTTATTGGAATGGAAGCTGTTTAGGTGGATACAACTCCGTTGAGTCGTAACAGTATCGGCCGATACTCTTTGAACCATGATAGTGAATGTTTTAGTGCTGCAGAGTGCAGACATGTTACAAGTATAAATTTTTCCTAATGCCACACTATATGGTATTTGAATTACAGGTTTTGGAGGTAATGCTGGAAGGAAAAATAGATAAAGAGAGGTGGAAAATGCCAGAGGAAGAAGAAGAGCCGGAACAGTTCTGGGGTTTTGAGGATCTTGAATGTGAATGTGACAGTTCCTTCTCAACCTCTCCACAAGACTCAATTTCAACCAGGAGTTGTTAGAACCAAAAACCACTTCCACTTCCACTTCCACTTCCATCCAGATGTTGATAAGAAAATCACATATGCAGGAAAAGTTATATAAACGGACCCAGTTAAATAAACGGACCCAGTTAACGAGACTCTAATCGCTGCGAAGTTAGAAGTAAGTTAAATAAATTTTCTTATGCAATTCGACCCCTTGCCGATCACTATTTATATTTGTATGTATATATAAGATGGAATTGTTGTAGCAGCCTTATCTTTGATGATGGCCAACTCATCACAACACTTTTTAAGAGCTTGATTTGACTATTCGAACTGGCAAAAAGGCCAAACTACAGGTTGGAAAGTTATTGGAAATTTGTAGAGAAAAAGTATGCCTTCAATGCAAATGTGTTTTTATAAATTCATACATTTTAGTGGGCCCAACTTGTATGGAATAATATGTTTAGATTATTGTAGCACATATCTTCTGAATAAAAAAATAAAGGGCAAATGACATTTTGTACGACAAAAGATCTTTGTATTCTCGATTTATACATTGAAAGATTAAAATTTCTATATTACACCTCCAATCACATAAAAATGTAGCAACGTTTTTCATTTTAAGGAAATTGAGAACAAAACTTTAATTAAAAACACTTGAATTTCATTGTCATTTAAATAATTATGTATACAAATAGGATAATTTTAATCTTTTATTTGATTGAGTTTGAACATTTAGTTTGAACTACAATGTAAAAATTTTAATCTTTTATGGTATATATTAAAAGTTTTAAAATCTTTCAAAGCACAAATTGCCATGCACCCAAAAATAAAATAATATTAACAACATGAATTACATTCTTAAAATCCCAAAGATGAATTAATGTAATCATTTAGAATTTACTTTCTGTGATTCACCAAAATTGAAAGTTTTACCATCTTACCGTGAATTGTAATAGGATGATTTTAATAAAAAAAATGTGTTTGTGATAAATGGGATGATTTCTAAGCATACGGTCAAAATGAATAATGTTACTTAGACTTAATTTATTAACTTAATTATTTATAACTATTAAATAGAAATTGGGCTCTAGTATTTGTCGAGATCCACAACTAATCCAATAGTTATAATGAATTATGTCAAGAAATTAGGTCAAAACAATGGCTTCATTTGGTAACTGTTTTTGTTTCAAGTTTTCAGTTATTGTTTTCATTTTTTTTTAAAACTAAATAAAACAATGGGTTTGGAAATATTTTGATACTATTTTTGTTTTTTTTTTCTATTATGAAAAATGTTTTCAGTTTAGAGTGAGTTTTTAAAAAATTTATAAAAAAATTGATGTTTTTAAAAAAAGCAAAATTGAAAACTGGTGGATGTTTATGTTCAACTTAATGAGATCTTGACAAAACACTTTTCCACCACTGCCACCTTCCACCGTTCACCCACAACCACTACCACTACCTACCTTGCCACCACCGCCATCCTCCATATTCGCCACAGCCTTCTAGACCTCCATTGCCATTATTACAACCCTCCACCCGCCACCACTGTAACGTTTCAAAATCTACTGTAGAAAGCATTACTATTTAAAAATCATCCAATTATGAGAACAACTACAATAGCCAATAAATAATAAACTATTCATCCACCTAACAAAAAATAAATACTAAAGCTAATAAAATATTATGACTTCTCCAACTTACAATTCAAAATCAAATAGTATCTAGCAGCGGAATAATTAAACTAACTGAAACACTATTCCATAAAAATCTCTCACACACTAACAAGAAATAAAACAACTCTATTCCTCTAAGACAAGGTTCACGTCTTGATTCTCCAATGCCTTGTAGTCAACTTATTCATCTACATCGATATCCTCTTCTATGCCAAAATCTATAAGTGTGTGGTTGTAGGAAGTGAGCAAAAGCCTATAAGAAATCTCTCTCAAATCCCAATAAGGTTTTAAAACAATTAAAACAAGGCAAGTCTCTTTTGAAAGAAATTAAATCAATTATATCGTTTTGAAATAAAACAATGACAGTTATAATGATCTCAAGTGTATGAAATATAGTAAATCGATGATAGGAATAAAAATGCAAGAAATTAAAGCAATCAATAAATAATTCAGCAGCATCATCCCATATTATCATGTATGTTGATTGTTTCTCAAGAATCTACACAACAATTTTACCTCATTCACTCACCACAAACCAAATAATCTCAATCATTCCCCGCAGAGCACATCACAAACCACTTTAAGAATGACGTATACCATCTCCTACGGTATTGACGAATCCTTCCCAAGAAAGGTATATCATTTCTCAATCTCGAATCTACGTAAACAATAGTGGTTGCTCTCATAAACAACAATCCATTATAAGTGCTAGACAACCATCTCACCCCTATTGGGATAGACTAATCTCTAACACTCTACGACAGCTCTCGAAGGCAATTCAAGTTCGTCACACCCAAACCATACAAGAGATGAAACCACAATTTTTTCAACAACCACAATTTTAACCAATCACAATTCTATAAAAGCTCAAGTATCACAATTTCACAATTTTCAATATACTACAGTAATAAATGAATTAAAATATGTAAGAGATCATACCAAAAAAAATTTTACAATTTCGATATCCAAATTCTAGGGTATTACCAAAAATTATAATTTCTTGGCATAAGAACAAATATTAGATGAAAACATGATTTAATCATGAGTAGGAATTTTAGAATTAAATAATCAATAGGTCTTTCACAATAAAACATGTGTTTAGGAGAAACTAGGGTTTTGAAAATTCAAGAACGTTTCTTGGATACAAGACATGTATCTCATTGAAAACCACATGTTATTTAAAAAAAAAAAAGAATAACGAATAGTATGTTAATCAAAAGAAACCAAGAACAAATGATTATTTAGTATATAATAATCTAGAAGATTTAAAACATACATAATTATACCCTAAGTCTTAATGAAATAACTTGAGAAGAATCCCCTATCTTAATTCGATATTTGAAGACAGCCCTAGCGTGTTTAAATAAATGTCAACGCGAGAATCCCTTTGAATCTTGTGCTTTATCTTTCTTTTTCGCTCTCTAGAATTACCTAGTGTTGAAAACTGATGAACCATGGCTATAGGGACGTCCATATGATATTTATAGGGTGAAAAACAAAAAAAAGAACCCTAAAACTGATCGGGTCCATTTTTAGGGTGGCGTTCGGATGGTGCTTGGGCGTCCAGACGGTGTCAAGTCACTGTTTTTTGATGAAAAAGAAGGTTTCATGTTAGGGAGTACCTTCCGAATGGTGCTTGGGGCATCCGCACAGTGCCAACTTTCTTTCATGACTTCTGAAACAGTTTTCACCTATTTAGAAATTGATTTAAGAAATTTTCAAGAAATACACTTTTGTAGATCTTGAAGTCTGGTTTCTATTGTCCAAATATCAGCCCAATTGGAGTCTAGAGTAGAAATTTATGGCTAACATACTAATGTAGTGTTAAATTCCTTCATATCTTAATTCTTTCTAAAATGCGCTTTAATTCCGAAATACTTCCCAACTTCTATTACACTCCATATTACCTCTTCCAAGGTTTCTCGAGCTTCCGAATTCAATGGAGACCTTAATGTGACCTAAAAATATTTAAAAACTTACCTAATCACCATTCTCAAGCTTAAACACCTTCAAAACTTAGTTTGACCTAAAAATCAATTCGTCCGAAACTCAAACTTCATGGTCAATCTTTTAACAATGATTCTAGGTTTCTACAATATTTTTATTCATCCTAGAAAAAATATTAATATGATATTATTCTTATTTAATTCTAGTACAAGGCCTTATAACCATTACCATCATTCACTGCCACCACTATTATAACCATTATTACNTTTTAACCAATCACAATTCTATAAAAGCTCAAGTATCACAATTTCACAATTTTCAATATACTACAGTAATAAATGAATTAAAATATGTAAGAGATCATACCAAAAAAAATTTTACAATTTCGATATCCAAATTCTAGGGTATTACCAAAAATTATAATTTCTTGGCATAAGAACAAATATTAGATGAAAACATGATTTAATCATGAGTAGGAATTTTAGAATTAAATAATCAATAGGTCTTTCACAATAAAACATGTGTTTAGGAGAAACTAGGGTTTTGAAAATTCAAGAACGTTTCTTGGATACAAGACATGTATCTCATTGAAAACCACATGTTATTTAAAAAAAAAAAAGAATAACGAATAGTATGTTAATCAAAAGAAACCAAGAACAAATGATTATTTAGTATATAATAATCTAGAAGATTTAAAACATACATAATTATACCCTAAGTCTTAATGAAATAACTTGAGAAGAATCCCCTATCTTAATTCGATATTTGAAGACAGCCCTAGCGTGTTTAAATAAATGTCAACGCGAGAATCCCTTTGAATCTTGTGCTTTATCTTTCTTTTTCGCTCTCTAGAATTACCTAGTGTTGAAAACTGATGAACCATGGCTATAGGGACGTCCATATGATATTTATAGGGTGAAAAACAAAAAAAAGAACCCTAAAACTGATCGGGTCCATTTTTAGGGTGGCGTTCGGATGGTGCTTGGGCGTCCAGACGGTGTCAAGTCACTGTTTTTTGATGAAAAAGAAGGTTTCATGTTAGGGAGTACCTTCCGAATGGTGCTTGGGGCATCCGCACAGTGCCAACTTTCTTTCATGACTTCTGAAACAGTTTTCACCTATTTAGAAATTGATTTAAGAAATTTTCAAGAAATACACTTTTGTAGATCTTGAAGTCTGGTTTCTATTGTCCAAATATCAGCCCAATTGGAGTCTAGAGTAGAAATTTATGGCTAACATACTAATGTAGTGTTAAATTCCTTCATATCTTAATTCTTTCTAAAATGCGCTTTAATTCCGAAATACTTCCCAACTTCTATTACACTCCATATTACCTCTTCCAAGGTTTCTCGAGCTTCCGAATTCAATGGAGACCTTAATGTGACCTAAAAATATTTAAAAACTTACCTAATCACCATTCTCAAGCTTAAACACCTTCAAAACTTAGTTTGACCTAAAAATCAATTCGTCCGAAACTCAAACTTCATGGTCAATCTTTTAACAATGATTCTAGGTTTCTACAATATTTTTATTCATCCTAGAAAAAATATTAATATGATATTATTCTTATTTAATTCTAGTACAAGGCCTTATAACCATTACCATCATTCACTGCCACCACTATTATAACCATTATTACTCTCGCAACCATTACCTATCATTACTTCGCTGCCATTATTGCTAGCTATTATCACCACCACCATTGGCATAGCCATTGCCACCACTATTGTCAGTATAGCTACCACCACCCACCGCCACCTTACACCACCATCA